CTTATTAAAAGCATTTGCAAATTTTTAATGTTGAGTTTCATCTTTTATTTGATGATTCATAGTTCTTGATATATTCTGAATGCTAATCCTTCAACATATGGGCATTATAAGTATCTTCCTAATCACTGGCTTCTCATCACACATTTTTTTATTGGGGGAGGGTCTTTTGATAAACATAAGCTTTTTATTTTATAGTAGTCAAAAGTATTGTTAAATTTGTTTCTTCGGTATTGTAATAGACCCTTTCCTGAACAAGGTCATAATGTTTGTCTCTTCTACATTCTTTTTAGTTTACAATTTTTGCTATTCACATTTAGATCTTTAATCCATGCAGAATTTACTTTCAGCTATCCTGTGTGGAATATTATAATCCCCTCTCTCATTTTTTGGATAATAAGTACTGTTTACGGAATCCCTTCCCTACTGATGTACATGCCACCTCTGCCAAACACAGCTTCTATATATATTTGAGTCTCTCCTGTCACCTACAATTTACTTTAAAATATTTCAGCATCAACAGTGCAATATACAAGTGTCTGTTTTAATTGACACAAGAGATGGCGGTTAGTTGGCAACTAACAGACTTTAATTAGAAACCATAATTCCAGAGGCTACAACTTCTAGTTATGTTTACCTTACCTCAGCAAGAGAAAGTTTGCTATTTAACATAATGGCTGTTAGAAATTATTTTTCTTGTGAAACTTATTTATTTAAAAGATATATTAGATAGTACTTACTATGTGCAAGGCGCTGTTAAAAGTGCTCTACAAATATTAACTAATTAAATTCTAATAACAATCCAAGGAGAAGAAGGTACTATTGTCTTCCCCATTTAACATGAGAAAATTGAGGCACAGAGATGTTCAGTGACTCTCCAAGGTCACCCACTTCCAAGAGGAAAAACCAGGATTCAGACCCAGGCAACCTGGCTGCGGAGTCCATGCTTTTAACTGCCACGCTATGCTGTTTCTCCATGTTGGGTTAAGAATGTTTCCAGCTAGACCTCATTGGTTAAGATGTTTTTTGTTTTTATGATCATACTTTTAAAATCTGTTTATTATAGCAAGAACCAACACCAAGTTTTATGCTTTGTCAATCTCTCTGAGATATCTTCCCAACATCTTCACTAATACTAGATATTAAATTTAAAACTTTTGCCATTATGATAGAAAAATTGATATTTATCTTATTGGTATTTTAATTTGCATGTTTGTACTTTTGTATGATTGAGGTTTAACATGTTTCAGGAATTTATAGCCAGATTTGTAATCTTTTTTTAACTGTGAATTGATTGTTCCTATTCTAGGACCATTTTCCTAGTAGACTAACTCATCCTTTTTAAAATAATACTGAAACTCTTCCTCTAAACCAAGGCCATTCATTAGTCCTGTGCATACTCAAAGTGTTTTTTTCTAGGGTTTGCCATTTGTTTTATAAATTTGCTTAGTGCAGAATACCTTCCTGGTGACTGGGTTTTTACTCTTGGTAGATCTTGTCAAATACTATTTGGCAATTTGGGGAATATCATCCAAGTGCCATCTTTTTGTTGTTGTTTTCAATGTTTCTCCTTTTTCAATTTCATAAATTTTACTCTCACTTTTAACATTTCCTTCCCTGTGCTTTTTTTGTGTTTATTCAATAGCTTATTTATTTCCAGCTCCCTGATTTGAACATTTGATTCATTTATATTTACATATTTCTTATTTTTTAAATACAAAAATTTAAGTACTAATTTAGCTGTACAGCAATTATTTAGAAAGTGGTACTTTTATTGTCATTCAGTTTTCAATATTTTGTCATTTTTACTGAGTTATTACTCTTGTAAGTGTCAAAACATGTTTGGTCATGTTCACTATTTTTTGTTGTTTTCTAATTTAATTGCATTGCGGTCAAGACTGTATTCTTTATTGTGATAATTCTCCAAATTTGGTAAAGTTCCTTTGTGACTTAGAACATGGTCAAATTTTATGAATGTTCCATTTGTGCTTGGAAATTGCATTATCTGTTGAAAGCAAGATTCTGTAACCAAACACACAAAATCATGATGAAATTGTTAATTCTGCTGTTCAAATCTTCTATGGCCTTATTAGTATTTGGCTTCTATAAACCATCAGTTTCTAATAAAGGGTGGTAAAACCTTCCACTGTGATTTTGGTTTTAATACTTTCTTATAATTCTGTCAGTTTTTGCTTTATATATTTGACAGCTATGTTGTTATATAAATTCATAACTTCTAATACCGATTTCCCCATGTATAAGACGCACCCTTTTAAAAAAAATTTGGGGTCTAAAAACTGGGTGCATCTTATACAGTGGTTGTAGATTTTTTTACTTGCATCTCTCACTTTTTCACGCTTGTTTTTGCGCTCACACAACCACTGTACAAGACGCACCCA